AAGCATTGATTGTATAGTAAATCGTAAAGCACTTCGTCTTAGGAGGGGCTGAGCGCTGAAAAGTTTGACATCCATTACACTAAGAAATAAAAGATACTTTTTAATACTGAATATATGATCATTAATTTTGCCATAAGTTACCAATGAAAGCATCGGGCTGACAGCTAAATAGCGATTTATAATATGGGACTAAAAACTAGTCTATGATATCATCTGATAAATTGTGTGGTTTTGATGTGCATAAGAATTTCTACACAAATAATTACCATAAGTTTCATGAAATTATAGCCGATTTTCGTAGTAAATCACTGGTGAGTCAGTCATCCCATAGTCTGAAAGTCATTGTCTGAATGTCTTTGAAAAATGTTTTAATAAATAGAGAAACAGAAAGTTTTGTTCAGAAATTATTGGTTTGAATGCTTGTCTATAGAATCGGGAATTGATTGTGGGTTTTGGGGTATTATTTGTACTCATTTTTAAACAAATATTGAAGTTATTTTTACTAACTTATAATCAAAGATTTATGTCTCCATTACTTTTCAGAGTATTATCAAAAGTTTTGATGTTTTTTATTTGATTTGATATAAAATATTTGATTTATTTATTTATTAGATTTTTATTAAGCAATCAATTCAATGATAGTAGAAATCTGATACAACATGTGCTACAATTTATAAATCATAAGGCAATCAAACGGTTAAAGTTCTAGTTTTTTATACAAAGTGTATCACAAAGAAATTTCATTAATATTTTTCAAATAGCTTAATGGTCGAGTAAATTGTTTTTTGCTTTATATAACTTGCAATCTATGATAATAAAAACTTTTTTAAGCATTGAATTGATTCGCAAATTGAAATTCATATGAATTTATGCAATAAATAAAAAATAGCTTAATGGTCGAGTAAATTGTTTTTTGCTTTATATAACTTGCAATCTATGATAATAAAAACTTTTTTAAGCATTGAATTGATTCGCAAATTGAAATTCATATGAATTTATGCAATAAATAAATTTGTGCCCAAAATTATTTATACTTTTATTCGCATAGAATAACTGATTAATGCATTAAATAAAACAAAACTAAATGTTTAAACTTATAAAACGTGTTTTCAATATTCAATTCTAGTATTACTTTATACACTATATTCGTGATCAACGAATTAATTCAGCGATTTTTATGATCAAATATTATTGTTATTAAGTTTTATTATTAATACTCAATTTTACTAACAAATTGATTCATTTACTTAACGCTAAATTGTGTTCACAATCTATACATGATTCCCACATAACTATAAATAACTAAAACACAAATAAAATGCATTTCACTTTCAAACGACATGTTTTCTAAACATATATTTCGAGGACTTTAATCTGTAAAACATTAATCATTTTGTATTACAAATTATAATTAGTTTGTTATGTAATCACGAGATTAGAGAAACACAATAGAAATTTAAGGATAGGCTTTGTATTTGTATTTTGTTAATTGTTTTTTGATTAAAACAAAAACATATAATACCTGTTCCAATACCTGTGCCCTTTGTAATCAAACACATACTATTTTTTATAAACCATTGTAATTAAGACAAACTTAAATAAAACAAATAAATGAATAGAAACCCTTATATTAAAACTATTTTTAATAATCAGTAATTAATAATAAATTAATTAAACGTTTAAACCGAGATTTTGAAATAAAAACTAGTTTTAGAGTTAATTATTAGTCTTTTTTGGAGGTTTTGTCGTTTATTTATCTAAAATTATTAATTAATAAATATTTTTAGTAAATTCTATAGTTAATTTATCACGCTGGAGAACAAACATTTAATTAAACAACTAATTGTCTAAACAAAAACCAAACCAAACAAAACAAATTAAACCCAAAAAACTACTTATAATTTCTTAGCGACAAAATTCAAATGAAGGAGTCGTACGCCTCCCACGCCTTCACCTTTTGGCTGTACTTTTGCATACGAATCGTATTTCAGATAACGACTGGCGTATGTTTCACACTATTGGACGCCACGACCCTGGTCATGTGCGAAAGGCACAAGTCCTCGTTCGGCAAGGAGAGGTTCTGGGCCATCTTCGCCACGGGACTATTCTCGCCCATATGCGGGGTACTCATCGACCACCTCAGTCAAGGCAAAGACGAGTTCTCGATCGACTACTCGCCATCCTTTTACTTCTTCAACGTCTTAGTCTTCCTGACATCCGTAACGCTGATCATAATGGACGTGGAGGTCGTGCCGCCGCCCAAGAACCTCATGAAGAACATCAAACCGCTGCTCAAGTCAGTGAACATATGGGTGCTATTGATAGTGATATTCATTTTGGGCACTTTGTGGGGGTTTGTCGAGTCGTTTCTATTCTGGTATTTACTTGATCTCAAATCGCCCAATTATTTGCTGGGACTCACACTCACAACGGGTGCTCTGGTGGGCCTACCGTTCCTATGGAGCTCCGAGTGGTTCACGGAGAAGGCAGGTCACGTCAATCTCATGATACTGGCGCTGGTATTCTACTTGATTCGCTTCGGAGGCTATTCCGAGTATCTTAGAGGGAAAACCACGTAAGGGAAGCTCCATTGGTAATCAAACGAAAATTTATCATAAAAAGTTCTAAACAAAATCAAAAGATTACTTAATAATCTAGAATTAGATTTAATATTAGATTAAGTGCATAAATAAATATTAATTTAAATTTGTTTAATTTAGTATGTATTCTTAGGGCAAGGGGATTGAGATTGGACTTCAGTAATTTGATTATGAGGTAAGCTGTGAAACTCTCTTATTTAGTTTATAATTATAGATTATATATTAATTTTTTATCAAAAATCAAAACTTCAAACATTGAGTTTTACGGTATAATTGAAATAAGATTTGTTGAGTAAATAATACGCCAATAAATACGGCATTTAGCCTTAAATAATGAATTGAACAAAAAAACGGGAATAAATTTTTTCGTAATTTGAAAAAAATCAATTATCAGACGAACCATACCTTTAAAAAAAACATTAATGCATTAAAACGCTTTAAATAAACAAAAAAAATTAATTGACTTACGATTTTAGGCAAAATTAATTTTAAAACGTGACTTTGATTAATGCCTTAAATATTTAATTTAATTTCTGAGTCATTCTTAATATAAATTTTTTTTATTGCTAATCAGGTATTCAGCGAATAATTAGTTTGTAAAATGCTATGATTTTTAAATTAATTAATTTGCCCAAACTTAATAAGAAATTAATTGTTAATAAGTTTTTGACTTTTTTTAATGATTCAAAATAATGATGAGAGAGAAGTTTGTGGCGAATGTATAAAAAATATCAAATGTCTTCAATTCATTGAACTTTTCTATCCGTCAAACCTCTTAAACGATGTGATTATATAACAAAAGCTCTTCAGCTCCTCATCCCATAACATAACTCATGAGTCAATAAAATGCTTATTAGATGTCAAACAACTATCAACACAAAAAATGTTTTCCTAATAACTAAACACTGTTTGGGTTTCAAATGTTTGATCAAAATTTGATTGAATATATCGACTCTAATATACAATTTGTGAGAAATTTCATACCATTTCTCTCATGAATGCCTGATTTCTCTCATATAATTACAGGCTATGGAGGCTTTCACTTATCATCTCATGTGGTGCGCGGCCGCTACCTATTCCCAAAAGTTGGCACCGGAAGGTTTGACACCATACACTTATTTATTGCATTTAATAATATTTATTTTCGCTAATAAGTAATATTTATAAGGAATTAATTATCGAAAACAATCATAACATTTATAGGAATATCTTTCGGTTAAGGCTTTCTGTTATAAATTATATTTAATGTCTATTAAGAGAGAGAGAGAGAGGGAGGGAGAGAGAGAGAGAGAGAGAGAGAGAGAGAAAGGATGGCGAGTAGTCGATCGAGAACTCGTCTTTGCCTTGACTGAGGTGGTCGATGAGTACCCCGCATATGGGCGAGAATAGTCCCGTGGCGAAGATGGCCCAGAACCTCTCCTTGCCGAACGAGGGAGAGAGAGAGAGAGAGAGAGAGACTTAACAATTAATTACAAAAAAATCTGATTAAATTTTTTCTAAAGAGTTGGCAAAGAGTTTTACGAAAATATTTTCGAAATGTTTGCTTTTTATTGCATTTTTTCACAAAATTCCCCTAAAAAATGTGGACATAATCTTATTTATAAGGATTAGGTCCCCAAAAGTCTAATTTATGGCATTCTGTGCTATTTATACCATTTTAGCAATAATTTTGCGATTTTTTTCGGACGTTATATGCTATTAGAAGATCTCATGAAAATATCTAAATAGCATTAAAATATAAATTAATGACAAAATTATGTTATAAATGCTATAAATAATGGAGCCTATTTATTAACAATAACAAAAACTGATCAAGCTATTTGCAATTCAATTATCTATAAAAATGTTGCATTCCTTTTGCGGTCAAATAATCGCTTTAAGACAATAACTTTTTGACATTTTATGTGAAATATCTTAATCTCAATATTAATGCAATTATGAAACATAGATATCAGATATTATAAGTTTACACAAAATATATAAGAATTTCTTAATTCAATTCATTAAAAATTCTGGTTTCACTCCAATTAATTTCAGTGCAATTAAATGAAATTATTTACAATTAGTTAAATAAAAATTACATTAATATAATTAAATTGTTGTTAATTTTTTCACAAAATTCCCCTAAAAAATGTGGACATAATCTTATTTATAAGGATTAGGTCCCCAAAAGTCTAATTTATGGCATTCTGTGCTATTTATACCATTTTAGCAATAATTTTGCGATTTTTTCGGACGTTATATGCTATTAGAAAACCTCATGAAAATATCTAAATAGCATTAAAATATAAATTAATGACAAAATTATGTTATAAATGCTATAAATAATGGAACCTATTTATTAACAATAACAAAAACTGATCAAGCTATTTGCAATTCAATTATCTATAGAAATGTTGCATTCCTTTTGCGGTCAAACAATCGCTTTAAGACAATAACTTTTTGACATTTTATGTGAAATATCTTAATCTCAATATTAACGCAATTATGAAACATAGATATCAGATATTATAAGTTTACACAAAATATAAGAATTTCTTAATTCAATTCATTAAAAATTCTGGTTTCACTCCAATTAATTTCAGTGCAATTAAATGAAATTATTTACAATTAGTTAAATAAAAATTACATTAATATAATTAAATTGTTGTTATTTTGCTTAGAGACAAAAGTTGTATTATCTCTCGAAGTAACAAACTTACAGTTATATTAATAATTATGGAAAATATACGAATAAATACATAAAATATGATTTTGAACTGAACTCTAACAGGACTGACGGCTACAATGTTGGGAATAGTGGGAGGACTACATTACGGAGGTATTTGTCTGTTTACAAGTTTTTTGTTTTAGAAACCATAAATGTTTAATGAATTTTAAAGTAATACTGTATTTTACAAACTTTTTGATTATTTCAAACCAAATATAAATTCAATTGAAATGCACGTATAAGTGGGTCGGGCGGCCGGAAGTATGTTTGGTGGGAGCCTTATGGCCATATTCAACGCCAGAATCGCCTTTAGGATAATGGGTATCATAGCCGGAGTGGTGGCACTGGTATATACCCTCATCTACTATATATTCCTACGTAAGGATGAAATCAAGTTATTTAACAAGAAGTCGGGATTTTCAGCCGATAATGAAAACAATGTGGTGTCGAAAGACATGGAGATTATCGATATAAAAACAACGGCGCCCATTGATGGCGAACCCACGGCTGCCGACCCGTTAACAGCAGAGGGCGGCGGAGCTGTCGCTGGAAATGGTGTGCATTTGAAGCCTAAAGAGCGGTGCGATAGCGATGTGTCGAGAATTTCAGTGATTTCGGCCACCCTTTCCCTTTCGCATCCCATTTGATATACGATTTCTATTATAATTATGTTTTCTCTAATCATTTGACGATATGTTGCGAACTTTTTATTGCAAACTATCGACGAGTTTTGAGCATTTTATTGGATATTGCTTTGGAAACAAAGGTTATAAAAGATATTCACAAATATACAGTAATTATGAAAAGGCATTCAAAGAAACTCATAATAAAACACACATCGCATGCATTTGAATGATTGGATACAGAGATTGATATGAAAAATATATAAAAGATTAATATTTAAAATATTTCCTAATCTGATTACTGATTATACTTTAATCGGTGATATAGTTTGAATACAAAAAAAATATCAAATATTATATGATTATCAAGCTTTAAATATAGATTTTAGTTTTTTATTTAAACGATTAATTGAATGATTAATGAATTTAATGATATAAATACAATAATTTAAAACTAATCCAATTGTACGGACAATCAATTGAATGATTACAAAAATTAAAGCATAACTTTTTAATAGCCAAATATTCGTGGCGTTTATGTCCTAAAGTGATGTTTGGATTAATTTGACTCAAGGAGTATCAGTCCGGACCGTAAGGAAATGCCACCAAAACGAGTTGAAAGAGGATCTCTTAAATCTTACATAACTTTTATAAATAATACGCTCGAGAGAGAGAGAGAGAGAGAGAGAGAGCATAGAGTAAGTTAAAGACGAGTTCAGTTTTACGGCCAAAAGAATCAAAAATAAAATAATTATTGAACTTTTAATTATGATCTGCCATTTAAACGCTGGTGTCGTTTGGGGAAGTGGAGGAACAGGTAGTGAAACATTAAACACATAGTGTTTGTATAGAGAGTTTTGGGCCGAGATTTAAGGAGATAACCATTAGTTTGATTGCAATCATTATATAACAAAATTCTGGATCAAACCCCTTTCGATGTGTTGTTTTGATTTTATTTCAGTGAATATTATTATAATATTCGGTGTAATCAGTGATTATAATTTGATGTAAACATTCATTAATTATGGATTCAAAGCAAAAACTAAAATTCATTTTCTCATTACACGAGAAAAAAATTAATTCATAACTAAAATAATAATCTAATATTGAATGCCAAAATCAAATCACATTATGGTTAATGGCATTCAATCTAATCGTAACACTAATTACTGAATGCTTTTGTAATCAAATAATGCGATCTGAGAAAATATATTAGAAAACCTAAACGCATAGCAAAATAGAAAAACAATAAATAAAATTGTGAAACAAATTATGAAATCGGAAAAAATATTATTTACGAATAAATTAATATTAAAATGCATTACACTAAAAGTTAAAATACAGTTCATTTGGGACACTATTGCATTGGAAAGTGGATTAACTAAACCATAAATCTTTATCACATAACTTGGTGTACAGTATAGTGTGGTATTGAATAAGACATATCAAGAACTATTTGCTCCCAATTGGAAATACCAGTTCCATGTGATAACTGACCCGTTCTCCACTCGTGTACACTCTATATGTGTCTTTCAAATAATAAATGGCTTTTCTCTACACAACAAATAAATGATCATTTTTCAAACATTGAGCTCAACAGCAAATATCATATAAATGTTATAAGAAATACTGTGGCGTTCGTGTCAATGGCTATCAATCCATATCTGAAGTTTTTTCAGACAAATATCTAGCATTACATATAATCTGTTATTCTTTCGGTTAACATAAATCTTTGAATGCATTTTTAGAGTTCATCGGAATTATTGTCATTCAAAACCTGGCAAATGCTATTCAAAACATTTGATTGGCATCAAAATAAGTGGACATTAGTTGAGCCCAAAGATAACAACTATTATATTATAATAAGTATTATTGAAATGTAAATATGATTTGTGCCGAACATTACTGTATGTGTTGTTTGTTGTGAGCCTTTGTCTGAGTATTTAAAGTGCACTGAAAGTCACGATTATTATCGCATATTCTGTGAGAATCACATCTTATTTATGCAAATGCTTTGCCAAATGAATGCAATCCAATGACTGGACTTTCAATTGCACTGCAAAAGTCCATATGTATAATACATTAAAGTTGTCGTGAAAATATCATTTAGACACTAAAAGCCTAAACAAATGAATCGACAAAATAGTTAACTAATGCTTCACTCATTAGACTCAACAAACTAAACGTTAAGACAAAGCTGACTTTAAAAGCAAAATAAATTGCTTTTTTGTCTGACTTTTGTATTATTATATTAACTTAATGTATGACATGAATGGCATAACAAAACGCAATGCCATTCACTTTAAGCGATATATTTTTGTCAGTAATTTAATGGTTAATAAGCCGTCGACTACTAAGCGTGGGATCAAACCATTCGCTAAATTGAATTATTAATTAGCATTTGGGAGTCATTTATTAAGTATTTATTAGACTAATTCAAAAACTCATCAACGTACATCACCACTCTAGCATAGGTGTGGTGGCGTCTCAGCTACCAAACCATATGTCACTTGATTTGATGGTTAACCAAAAATAGTATCTCTTAGTTACACATACATACCGGTTCCCCAAATATATGCCATAATATACACTATAATGATATGAATTCATATTTCATGTATGCGTTCAATGATAACAAATCAGACAATCATTTTCATCCAATAGTATTGACTTTTATATCGAGTGGTGATATAATATGCAGTGATGTGTGTATTAATAGCACTCATGGTCTGTGAGTACGTTATATTTAGGTATTGTATACCTGAGAGCCGGTATATTAACCAAAAACCAACTGTTCATTTGAATATTTGAACGATACTGTCATCACAACAACATTTGAGATGATATTATGAAATATTTTTAATTTAATATGTTTTTGTCTCAAACTGACGTTGCTCACAAAAATAGCAAATATTTTCATTGAAATACGAGTGAATAAAAAAGTTTTTGTTTTGTTTTATGTATTTCTAAGAAATATATGTTTAATCGCTATATTCATTACAATAATGTAATAATATTTTATCAAAATTTACGATAAGTAAGGCTTTGTGCGAAAGTTATAAAAAACTTCTTACGAAATGAAATAATAATTACTTTATTATATTGTGAGTGCAATTGGAGGGAACGTGCGCTCGAGACCTGTGTTTTGGATATTATACTTTTTCAACATATACTATAGTTTTATAGTAATATATATTTTATTTTTCTCTTCTCTTTACGTTTTACAGGTATTATACACAGCACTAGACGTGATGTACACCTGAATACATACAGTGAATAATATTGAGTGCAAATGTAATGGTCTTTTAAAACCTGAAGTTTTAATACTCTTCTCTCCCGACCAGAGCTCTGAACAAGTTTTGGGCTAAGATTTGGTTCACTATAAGAGGGGAGAGAGAGAGAGAGAGGTTTGGAGGGAATGGTGATCAGTAAACGTAATAAATATTGTGTCTAAGACTCCCCGCATAAAACTTCTCTGAGGCCCAGGTTTTCAGGTAAAGAGTATTATAAGTCTTAAAGTAATAGTAATGTCTGTATAGAGAGAGGGGAACAACAGGTTTTTGCACCGTATGTATGATCTCTCTCTCTCTCTGAGAAAAACTTGTTTTTAATGTATTCCCTTCGCGTGCGTGCACTGTAGCCACCACTGTATGCACCACTATATCTCTACAACATCACTACCCGGCCATAGGACAGCACAATCACCTGCACCTATCACTTGGCACAGACTTGAAGGACGCAAAGGCAGGGATTCAGTGCTGCAAAGAGAGAGAGACTCCGGACTTATTCAGCAGTTTTGCACAGTTTTCTTGTGAGGTTGTGCTGAGACGCCAGTCCCCTCTTACAGTGCGAGTACAGCGAGTGTTGTGTACAAACTGAGCGCAAAAAGTTCACTGGACTTCATATACTACAGAGAAAAGTCATATACAGTACACTCTCTTAAAGCCATTTTCAACACCACTTTGTTTGTTGTGTCAGATTTCCACCACATTTTGTATTTAATATTTATATCTAATTAGAAAACATTTGTGGAAACAATAAGTTGTTGTCATTTTCACTACTCGTTCACTCCATGTGTGACTCAATTATCTGCACAAATGTGTGTTATTTTTAAAAAACTTTTTGCTATTGTAGTGTAAGCCAAATGTGGACTAAATATTTCGTCTCAAATGTTGTGCTCTTCGAGTGAAGTGTGTGTTTGCGGAGGAAAGACACCAAAACACATAGGAATACATATTCAGTAAACCTGTTCACCCGATCCGCAAACTCCTATGTATTTTACATACAAATCGTAAAGTATTGAAAACATTTAGCCTATAATTTGGCGCAAAAGTTTTTATACGTACCAAAAGTTTCCGCAAACTTTTGGTAACTTTTTTTCATATGAAATAATACTATAATACTTGACATCAACTCTATTATCGCAACCAATACTTTATTTCACAAAACATGAACCGAGACCCCAACCAAACCTTACCTATGCGGCTGTACTACCACCAGCCCCCAGGACCCCACCACCACCAGCAGCACCAGCACAGGCCTATGGCCCGCAGCACAGGTGGTTCCGATGTACCCGACTCGCCATCGGCCAACTCATCCGTGTCCTACTTCAGTGATGTCGGAGATATGACAGACAATCGATACATCAGTCGAAAGACTGTGGAGAATATACTGAATCTTCAGCGACACTCACACCTGAAGACTGGCAGCCGTAACAGCGCCAGTAGTATCGAGTCGTTTGACATCCGAAACGGGAATCTTGTGTTCAATAAGCCGTTGACAGCCCTGACGGATAAGCCCCGCATGTGTACCCTCCAGCGCAACGACTCGGGAAACTCGAGTCCCGGCTATGATAAGGGAAGCGCCTCGTCTTCAGGCGAGGGACAGTACTTCACCTTCAAAGGCACTCCACAGCGCAGACCCTTCTCCAACCTGCCCGGCCATAGACACCCTCCCAGCCCTCGACTCAGCTCAGACCAGGGCTACGACTCGTTCTCGTTGTCCAGTACCGATTCATATCCGTC